CTTTATAAATGCGTCGATATTATTGTTTCCACTTTTCCAAGTATCAAAATTTTGTTGAAAACGAGAAGAATTACAAGGCTGACACCAATAACAAGCTGTTATCACCTTATAGCACTGATCACACTTTTTTCCTATAATAATAAATTGAATTTTATAAATAACAACGAAAACGGTACCTAGCGTAAATGTGCGAGAATCGAATTTCGTAATGCCCTAGATTCAACTTACCCCCTACAATAGTAAAGGATAATAATAAATAAAATAAAATTTCATGCAAAAAAAATAACGAAAATGTCCTTGATTTAACATACCCGCTATAAAATTTGACGATTAATACAATTTAATATCATTTCATAGTATTTTATGAAATAGATAACGAAAATGTTCTGGATTTAACTTACAATCTACAACAGTAGAGAATAAGAATACAACTAAATATCATTTTATATAATTTTACAAAACAAATAAAGAAAATTTACTTACTATCTGCAACAGTAGAGAATAAGAATACAATTAAATATCATTTCATCTGATTTTGAGAAACAAGTAATGAAAATGCTCTGGATTTAACTTACACCCTACAAAATATGATGATCAATACAGTACTGTACAATTAAATTTCATTTTATGATTTTACGAACAAAATAAAGAAAATGTCCCAATTTAACTTACAATCTACAACAGTAGAGAATAAGAATAAAATTAAACCTCATTTCATATGACTTTACAAAACAAATAATTAATACAGTATATCCTGGATTTAACTTACCCACTATAAAATTTGACGATCGATACAATTAAATCTCATTTTACGAAACAAGAATGAAAATGTCCTGGATTTAACTTACCATCTACAATAGTAGAGAATATGAATACAATTGCAGCAAATCTCATTTTATATGATTTTGCAAAAAAAACAAAGAAATGTGCCGATTTAACTTACCCACTACAAAATTTACAATTAAATCTTATTTCATATTATTTTACGACATAAATAACGAAATATCCTGGGTTTAACTTACAATCTACAACAGTAGAGATTAAGAATACAATTAAATCTCATTTAATATTATTTTACGAAACAAATAACGAAATGTCTTGGACTCAACTTACCATCTACAACATTAGAGAGTAAGAGGTCTCATTTAATATGATTTTACGAAACAAATAACGAAATTTTCTGGATTAACTTACAATCTACAACAGTAGAGAATAAGAATATAATTAAATCCCATTTCATGTTATCTTACAAAACTAATAACGAAATGTTCTGGATTTAACTTACAATCTACAACAGAATACAATTAAATATTATTTCTTATTGTTTTAAGAAACAAATAACGAAAGTGTTCTATAATTAACTTACCCACTACAAAATTTGACGATAAATACATTAAATCTCCTTTTACTGTACTGTATATGATTTATGAAACAAACAACGACAATTTCCTGAATTTAACTTACCATCTATAGCTTTAAAGTATAATAATACTACAATTAAACTTCATTTTATGTGAACAATAAACGAAAATGCCCCAAATTTAACATACCCACTATATAAAATTTGACGATTGATACAATTTAAATCTCATTTTATATTATTTTACGAAATACTGTAAATAACAAAAATGTCCTTGATTTACCCGCTATAAATGACGATTAATACAAGTTAAATTTCATTTTATATGATTTTGCAAACAAACAACGATTTAACTCACAACATGCAATTGTAGAGAGTAAGAATACAATTAAATCTCATTTTCATGATACTTTACGAAACAAACAAAGAAAATGTTCTGGATTTAACTTACAAGCTACGACAGTAGAGAATAAAAATATAATTAAATTTCATTTGTAGGATTTTACGAAACAAATAACGAAAATGTCCTGGATTTAACTTACGAACTACAACAGTAGAGAATAAAAATATAGTGAAATCTCAGTCCATATGATTTTACAAACAAATAACGAAAATGTCTAGGATATCTAACCTACCTCCTATAAAATTTGACGATTGATACAATTAAATCTCATTTCATATAAATAAATAAATAAATAACAGAAATGTCCAGGATATCCAACCCACCTCCTATAAAATTGACGATTAATACAATTAAATCTCATGATTTATGAAATATATAGTGAAAATTTCTGGATCTATATACCCTCTACAAGTATAACGTATTGTTAAGATTAGAAGATATATTACATTTAAAACTTTTAATAACATCGAATTTTTAAAAGACCAACCTTTTGCCACTTCTATCAATTTTTTCACATCTTCTGAAGTCATAACGAAATGTCTGGGTCAAATAATAATACTAACAATGTTTAAATGCCGTTAGATTCTATAAACACTGCAGTATTAATCGTGTAACTTTATGGATACAGTACCGTACTGTCATACAAATTACAGTACAAACTATATTTTTGGTTATATAAGCGCATTTTGAAAACCATAGGCCGGGTCAACGCCCGAATTTTGCTGATAATTTGCTTACGCAATAATTTCGGACTATTCAGATACGACCCAACTCTTCTCAGTATTAAAAGAAAGAGCCTACAATTCTTATACAATAATAACTCTATTTACTGCGTCGAAATCTGAAAAATAATATTTATGCACATACCAATAATATAAAATTATTTCATATTACAATTAATTCTTTAATTGCCAATTAAATTATTAGTCTTTGTAAGTTTTTCTAAATTGACATAGGGAATCCTTTCTACTTTCTTAACTATTGATTCCACCACTTCTCAAATCATTTCCTGGATCTAGGTTAATTCCAAAATTTATCGGTATTACTGTATTATGAACACAATTCACTCACAATGTACCAATAATCATAGTATTTTTTTATGTTTTTTCTTATTATAAATTGGTCCTTTATATTGATGTTTTTTTTTGTATATTTTTTTTTTGTTTCACATCTAGAAGTAGCTGTAAGGGCACTAAGAACTTAATAAATTAAATTTTAAATTAGATATGATCTTCAGAAAAAACTTATACGAAATTTTTAAAAAAAATCTCTGGCTTTCAATAATGATTCCAATTATTATATATTTCATTTATATTTATTGTCTTCATTATCAAATATGGGTATTGTGAGTATTTGTCTTTTAATTATATAACATCCCTGCTGCTTTTCAATATTTGATGAATAAACTTCAGGAACTACTGTAAACAAAAAAAATGACATTATTTTTTTAAATGTCCAAGAGTTTATAATGATTTGGAAAAATATTTCATGTTAAGAGAGGATGTACCAGTTCTCTCTTTGGTGTTGCCCGCACGTTGTTCTATAGATTCATCTATACTCGTTGAAAAGCATGTGGCACTTATCTCTATTTGGATTCGCCAATCCGAACCCAATCTTTCATCTTCATTTTCCGCCGGTCATGAGAGCAGCGAGAATTCTTGCGAGTTCAAATTATTACTTCGGGGAACTCGAGATGGATTTTCTCCTTCAATATTTCACCAGTTATGTGATAACAAGACGAACACCGTCGTGGTATTTAAAGTAAAAGATACTGGTGAATTGTTGGGTGGATATAACCCAATCAAATGGAAGTCGGTGCGAGGGTGGGGACAGACACCCAACAGCTTTATATTTTCGTTAGATGACAATAACCCAAAGAATTCAATAATAAGCCGAGTCAAGAGAAAGTGTTCTGCATTAAACTATGAAGATTTTCTTGGACCGTCTTTCGGGTTTGGTATGTTTGACGATAACATAATTGTTTTTCACTGAAGACTAATAGTTCCTTATTCTCAAAAAAAAAAGATGATATCACCATCAACGGAGAAGATTTCAGAGAAGAGATGGAATGTTATTCCGCAAATCATTGTTACGAAAGGTCAATTAGAAAACATGATGGATATTTTTCGTTGGAAGAGTATGAAGTATTTCAAGTAAACAGGAAGGTTTTGTAGATGTGCGTATGCTAATTAAACAAAGATAAATCGAATATAGTTATGCATAGAAAGCACGTAATAATTTGATCGATCGAATTTTTTTTTTTCTTTTGTGGCAAAATTTTTACGAGAAATTTATACTGAAGTATTGAATTGAAGTTTTAAGCCTCAGCCAAACACAGCCGAAAGTTTTCATACGGCACAGTATTGCCTCCCCAAGCTTCATATGTATGGAGATCGTTTTTTTTTTTATACATACGTACGTACGTGGTTTGGATATTACCGTATTATGGAAAGAATCAAATCATAGCTATAGGACTTTGCATTTAAAAATCAACTTATTCTGGCAAAGCCTCTTTGGGCAAGCGAATTCCTGTTTCAACGCATTAGGTTGAAAATCTTCCTGAAGATCCCATGTGTAAAAAAAGGCTTATAAATAAAAGAAATTCTCAAATTCTCATGTATTTTTTTACTTTGCAAAAAAAAAAAATGTCGCAAAATTCATTTTTGCAGAGGCTTTCCCAAGACCTAACCGAGCTTCTGGAAGAAGGTGATGATTATAATATCATAATTGAAGCCGGTGAACCGCCGAATGATAAAATTTTCAAGTTACATTCGATGATATTAAGACACAGGTCACCTTACTTTCGTAGAAAATTGGTAGACACTTCGAAAGTTGTCGAGATAAAAAAGAATCACATTTCTGTTGAGGTTTTCTCGGTTGTTGTTAGGTTACTATTTAACTCTATATCTTTGTAAACCCAAGCCTAAAGTCATATTAACCTATACCCATGTCACTTTCAGGTACATGTATGGAGATTTTATTGATTTGAATGAACTGGAGCCGCTCATGATCCTTCAACTTTTGTGCGCCGCCGAGGAAATTGAACTTGAGGAATTGGTGATCTACATCGAATCCTTCTTACTTGATAATCATACCGAATGGTTACGACTAAATTTTGCTCTTATAAATCGTACTTGCTTCCAGTACGAAGGATTTCTTGGTCTTCAAACATTCTGTACTGGTATAATCGCCCAAAATCCCGAGATTGTTTTCGAGTCTGACGATTTCACAATTATTCAAGAGGGTGCTCTGGTCTCACTGATACAACGCGACGACCTTCGGATGGAAGAGTGTACCATCTGGGAACACTTAATACGCTGGGGAATATCTCAGACCCTAGCTACCACTTCAAATCCTGAAACATGGTCAAAGGAAGATTTTTCTGCACTCAAAACTACGTTGAAAAATTGTTTACCTTGGATTAGATACTTTCAAATGTCTCCTGAACAATTTTACGACAGGATCATGCCGTACGAAAGAATTTTGCCAAAGACTATTTTTAAGGAGCTTTTGCAACATTTCTTGATTCCCGATCGACCGCTGAACACTATTCCGTTGCCACCGAGAACATCTACTATCATTACTTCTAGACACTCCGCATTAATTTCCTCTTGGATTGATCACAATTCCAGGGTTTATGAAATTAATGAAAATCCTTATGAATTTAAATTACTATTGAGAGGTAGTCGAGACGGATTTAAAGCAAAAACATTTCATGATTTGTGCGAAGACAAGCAACGCACTGTATGTGTGATAAGAGTTCAAGGAACTGGTGAAATCATAGGTGGATATAATCCTATGGCTTGGGGTAAAAGTGGTTATTGTCAAACATCGGAGAGTTTCATTTTTGCATTGGACGAAGCCGATTTAAAGAATTCGATAAAAAGTAGAGTCAAGAATACGATCTACGCATTGGATTATTATTCATATTATGGACCGACGTTTGGGGGAAGGGATTTGGCGCTTGAAGATAACTTTAACAAAGAAGCAAGAGGGTTTTGTAAAAGGAAGTATTACGAGAAACCTATTAGGAACAGCGAGAAGCCTTTCAAAGTCCAGGACTATGAAGTATTTCAGATTTTGGATAGGCCTTCTGACTAGCCGTTGTTATGTAGTAATATAATGGTTTAAAATGAGACTTAGAATAGAACAGAATTTATTATATATCAATACTTTAACTTTTTGTTGTACGTATTGCTGAAAAACATGAATTTTCAAATGCCTTAAAAATTTTACAAATATTAATTAGCAAAGTAAGGAACAAAAAAATCAAAACCGTTTAAAATATACAGTATTAATAGTAATTTTTTTTTGTTTGTTTTTTAATAAAATAATATAACATAATATACTGTACTGCAATTCTATAAAGATCGATTAAATACAGTAATTCGAATTACAAATGTTAAATTTATTTAATTATATAATGGGAAATGGCGAATCCGTCACTTGCACACAGGTTTGGTCATTGCACGTCACACAACAGCTAAGTAGGCCCACTTTGCACTATTTAGCTATATGGTTCATGTTATCACTAGCACTATTTTCTTCTTGTTCTGTAGGCAAAAGAGATACAGTAATTAGATTTGATCGATCTTCATCTGTAGGTCATGTGATCACTTGCGAAATTAAAAGATACAAGGGTTTTATCATATAGATAAAAGTTATATGTTAAATGAGCACACTTGTTGCCTTTATTTAATGAAGGATAAGTATATTTATACATGTTTTTATTATTCTAATTATCTTAATTATTTTCATCACAATACCTTATATAGAAAGTTGCTTTTTTTTTTCTATAACAATATAAAGTATTGATATTGCTTTTAGTAAAAAAATCTTGGACTAGTAATCAATACTTGGAATTATTGATTAAGTATTGATATTGTCTCTAGTAAAAAACTTTGAACTAATAACTGATGTTTGAAATTATTGTTGCTTTAATAAGAAACAAAAAAAAATTTTTTTTAAACAGGTAATTTATATATTTATTTAAATTAAAATAAATATATATTATTTTCTTGTTAACACTTGATGCGTCTAGAATTCAATTAACTTAAAAATATAGCAGTTTGAATAATACTAAGAACTATATTCTATTATAAGATTTGTCATCAATATAAGCAACTATACATTAGTTAAAATTGATTTATTCAACATAATACTACTTGTTAATTATTTGTTAAAAAGTATATAATTCAGCTAATCAAATTTATATAATTTTTATCTTTGGCTATAAAACAGTATATAATTTATTTAGCACATAAATGGTACACTTTTTTTAAACCTTATTTTGAAAAGTTAATATTTCAACAGTAAGATGAATAATTTATTTTTTGCACCAAATATATACTGTATATATTTTGACTTTGCTAAATTATATTATTTTGACAAATTATATTACTTTGATAAATTATATTATCTTGTCAAATATATATTGCTAAATTATACTACTTTGCTGAATTATTTTACCTTGCTATATACATCAAAAAATTTTTTAGCAAAGATCTCCGAAGATTTTCAGGTGTAGATTTCTGAAGTGAAGGTTACTATATTAAACTCCAGAGATCTTCGATTTATTTTTATAATTATAAAATATATTTATATTCACATATTATAATCTATTAATATTCAATTTTTAATGTTTATTGGCTTTTAAAATTATTT